TTCCGTTTTTATAACACTCGTAACAGAGTCCTTTTAGGCCGCAAGAGTTGCATTTACAGCAAAACATTACCTTAACAATTCTTGATCGTTTTTCGCAAAAGGGCGCCTCAGCAATCTCGTAATGCACCTCATCCCAGCCCATTGACTTTCTTTCCCTTCTTTTTATCCTGATATACTTATTGTAAATTATCTCCCCAAGCTCTGGAGGGATGTTTTGAATGGCCTCAGAAAGTCTCTCTGGAGGGATGTTTTGAATGGCCTTGGAAAGTCCTCGGGAAGACATGGTTCCTTGGAATATAACCCCGGTTACATTTCTTTAACTGGTGTGCACTTGTTTCATGCTCGTGCCTTCCCGGCTCCAGACATATTACACCCGGCTCGCCCCTCTCTCGAGCTCTCGAGCTCCGCGGCAACGCCAAGTTTGTCCTCTACAACGGCCTCAGCGAGCCCAACGAGTGGGGCAACCGCTCCATCATGTTTAAGCTCGCTTCACCCCCCTTTAAACATTTGCCTCTCTTTGTTATCCGCAATGGAGATGCCTGTCATTCCTCAATCTATCGACTGGTCACCCGAAATCACCATTCGCACCGTTTTTGATGAGCCGCCCGTCGCCCCTTTCAGAACTCTCCCCTGCCATGCTTACCGCATCTTGTATGGTCATGGTGGCGGCAACGACTGGGACGATAGCCTTGTGTTGGTGCTTGCTGACAAATATAACAATCAGTTTGCCGCCTGGTCGTTCTCTTCTGTGAGCGCTGAAGCTGACCGGATTTCGAAAGCTTCTTTCATCGACTTTGTTGGTTTTGGTGAGCGCAACGCGTTTGGCAACATCCCCATCGTAATCCGCCTCGCTTGAGCTCTTTCGGAACAGTGAAAAAAAACGCCTCCCCTTCACCAAGTGTCTGCTGCTGGCAGGTGAAGGGAGGTGTTTTTTCGGCCCTTTATCGCCGGTTTTTCTGAGTTGCATTTAAGGCAAAACATGACCTTTACAATTCTTGATCGTTTTTCGCAAATGGGTGCCTCTTCAATCTCGTCATGTTCCTCATCCCAGCCCATTTCCTTTTTTCCCTTGATTTTTATTGCGATGTACTCCTTGAGAATCATCTCACGAAACTCTGGAGGGAGGTTTTGAATGGCCTCGGAAAGCCCGCAGCTTTCTTTCCGGCCCCGCTTCAGCCACCCGCACTTGTTTGGCGCTCGTTCCATCCCCGCTCTGGTGGTATAACACCCCGGGCTCGCGCATTTCTAATATGGCGCACTCCTTTGTTGTGGCCGCGGCCACCTCGCGTGGCGGGGCGCTGCGCGGGGGTGCCTCTCTTGTGAGTAGTATACTGGGAGGCATTCAAATACTATTTCGCAGAGGGAGCCTTATTTAACCTTATCGCAGCCCCNGGCGGGGCGCTGCGCGGGGGTGCCTCTCTTGTGAGTAGTATACTGGGAGGCATTCAAATACTATTTCGCAGAGGGAGCCTTATTTAACCTTATCGCAGCCCCGAGTATGAAGTCCGGCCCGAGCCTGTGAGGGCCGGACTTGATACTGGGGGCTGCGATAAGGTTAAATAAGGCTCCCTCTGCGAAATGGTATTTGAATGCCTCCCAGTATACTACTCATGACTTCCATTTTTTTGTTCAATGTATAATAAAACAATGATTAGAATAATCAAGGTCTCAGTAAAGGTTATTAGCCAAAGCTTCGGCTGATAACCCCTACCTTGACCTTGATTATTCTGGATATCGCAAAAACCTCATCCACTGATTATTAATTAAGAGGCAACTTTTGGCAAAGTTTTAAAAAATCTGTACATGGGGTTCAGAGCCACCTTAAAGTTTTGAAAATTTAAGGTGGTTCTGAACCCTCTATGTGTGGGGTTCGGAGCCACCTTAAAGTTTTCAAAATTTAAGGTGATTCTGAACCCTATGTACAGAATGTTTTTAAACTTTGCCTTTTATCATGCTGTTCCATTATTACATTTGTGATGTTTTAGGTAGAATCAAGGATTTTCAGTTGGGTCTCAAAAACAACTTGAAGAATAACCCAAGCTGATTTAAATACATATTTTACAACAACATAAAAGTGTTCCAAAGTCGAAGCTTTGAGGAATTTGGAGTTATGTTTGTAAATTAGGAATTTGACCTATTTTTTTTCGAAATTGTGTGTCTATTCTGAAATGGCACTCAAGCCAAGTTCTAACCTATTTTGGATAGCTGAATACTTTGGCTTTCAAGAAAAAAAAATGATAAGTTTTGGTTCTCATTTACATGAGATCACAACTTAGGTTTAAATTTCTAATTTTCAGCCTGTGTGTTCAGCCATTGTGGTGACTGTCAAGGTGAAAATTGTCTCCCTCAATTTTCTTGAATTTAAAGTGCTTTAAGCTGAAAGAAAACAAAGGAAATAAAGAAAACAGAATTTCTTGTGAATAGATCAGAATTGCATATACTGTATGTTGATTTTTAAACTTGACTAACCAACTGGTTGATGCTTTGAAGCTTTCACATTTGGACAACTCCACATTCAACTGTGCTGAGAAATGTTTTGCTTTCTCCTAAAGAAGCAAACCTGAAATTGGTGTTCCATTTGATCTTTGCTGAATAGACCAGGTGTACAAGGTTTTATCCAACTGCTCATCATTTGCAACCTTCAGGGGTTTTTGTTTTAATCCTTCACTCATCTGGACTCTGTCAGTGAATTTCAGGATCATGTTGTAGCCACGAGAGTTAAATTTGTCCGTTTTTGGTTGCCTTTTCGTTTTTTGTTTTGTCTTTGCTGTTAAAGGTTAATTTTTGCATACCTTTTTTGTGCAGTTTTTAAATGCAAATTAGTTTTTTTCACGTTGTGTTATGTAGTCGTCTGTTGTTTATCACGTACCCTCATTAAGTCTATTCTTTTAGTTCAAAATTCTGTTTTATAGCATTGTAGTTTTTTAGTTGTATTCAGTCATTGTCAGTTCCAGAGTGCCGTACAGATCTTGTAAGTAATCTTGTTTTCCCTTCTATTTCCTGCTGTTTTTTGTATTTTTGTATTTTCAGTTTATTTAAGTTTAAGCTCGTATTTATTTATTTCTGTATTTGTTATTTTGGTTTTAAGTGAATCATTAGAATTAAAGAAGAATTTCAAACATACAGGAGTGTTATTTTACACTTGTCTTTGTTTTTATGTATAGCTGAGATCTGCTGCTTGTAAATTCCAAACTAAAGTTCTGTTCCTTTTTGGCCTTTCTCTAAATGTTAAATGATTGTTTGCTTATCATTTATCAAGAGAACAGACCGCTTTCATTTCATAGACATTGCTGTGAATTGAGTTAATGATCGATAGCTCAGGTGTTTACATAACGCAAATGGAATGAACTAATCAAGCATGACATTTCCTGAGCAACATAACAATTGAGCCAATCAGAATTCAGCTGAATGCATCAGGATCCATTGTTTATTTCGTGCCGCTCGCACTGTTTAAAACGAAAGAGATTCAAACCTGGAGCTAAAACACACATTTGGAAGGATCAATAACCTTTTCGTTGCTTCAATTTTCAAGATCACATCTAAGTAATATTCATGAAAAAAAAATGGTACCAGAGAAGCAAGTCTGGATAATCAAAAAGTCTGGAAAATCAATGTCCAGATAATCGAGGTTCAATTGTAGCACGTTTCATATCTACATAAGGGCTATTTGTGGACAAAGAAAAATCAATTTTTTGACTTCTGCCACCAAATTTACATTTTGCTTGTTTTTTGGTGACATTTGCTCTTATTGTGTTGAAAGCTCCTCTTGCCCTACTTAATCTTCACACAATATCTCTTGCTGCCCCTCTCTTCTCATCCATTATTGATCCTAGATATGTAAAGTGGTCTACCAGTGCGCTGAATCTTAATAGGAGCATTGATGCGGTTGTTCACAATGAGTAAGTTGCCCTTTCCAACATTCGGCTTTAGTACCAATCTCCCTACAGACAACTCCAAGTCCTCTGTCTTCCTTTGCATGTGCTCCTGTGTGAGTGACAGTAACTCAATGTCATCAGCAAAGTCAAGATCTTCAAGCCTCTGGTTCAAACCCCACTTTCCCGTACCTTCCTTTCTCTGTGATTCTACACATCACCCAATCAATGACCATTAGGGAAAGAAAACTGGCATCCCACATCCCTGCCTTACCCCAGAGGCAACACTGAACCAATCTGATAAGCCACCATTTTGTCAAATGCTGCAGCTATAATTCCCGTAGAACAGCTGTACAAGAGTTGCAATCTTGTCTGGTATTCCATAACTTTTCATGATCGCCCATAAACCTTCCCAATGAACACTGTTGAAGGCTTTTTCAAAATCAATGAAATTGAGGTAAACATAATAATCATGAAAATATTTAAACAGGAAGCCCAATTCAGGATAAGGTGCTCCTCAGTGGGCCCTGCATAAATAAATATTAAAAGTTACAGCAAATGTTAAGTTTAAAGTTTAAAAGCTAAAGGTTAAAAATGTATATACAGGTAAAGAGTTGCATTCCACTTGAAACATTGCTCAATTATGTTTTGCAGGAGAAATGTCTGCATTGTGCAACCTCTTCCCTTTCAAAAACCTGCTTCCTCCTTATGAAGACGCTAGGCCACAGCTGCACTGATTCTATTATGACATTACATATAACTTTACTTGGTATCAGTAATAATCTAACCTCTCTTCAGTAGTCACATTGTGTGGGGTCACCTTTCTTTCGAATCTTCACAATCACTCCTTTCTGCCAATCGCTTGGTATACTCTCAGTTTCCCAGACCTTTTCCCATAACCTGCCCAACTATGGTGTAGTAGTTGTCATGTCTACTTTCAACATCTCACCACTAACATTATCAATCCCTGGGCACTTTCCAAAAAGTTGTTTTACTGTAGATGAAATACAAGTCACTTGTTCAATAGGCAGTCTAACAAGATTAGGATATTGAACTGTATATATGCATATACATTTCTTGGTGACTGTAGAACCATGAAAGCCTTAGGCTGCCCTAAGTAACACTATAGTGCCTTAGATTAGCATTTTTATAAGTCCTTTCCTGGAATGTGACATGATGATGAATGAGTATTTCATTAATCTCATTTTAAATCTCTGGATCCTAGGAGGAAGTTCATCCAAGTTTTTTTAGCCCAACAGCGGCACCAACAGTTTGTGATCTGTCTCAATGAGGATGTCCTTTCCCAGGATGTAGTCATTAAATTTCTCGCACGCCCAAGTTGTCGCAAGCACTTTTTTTTCGATTTGACCATACAGCTGTTCAGAGCTAGTCATGGATCTTGACGCATAGGCTACAGGCTTCCTTACTCCAGTTTCTTGTTCTTGTAAGAGGACTGCACCAAGTCCATAAGATGAGGCATCTGCGGACAAGATTGTTTTCTTGGCAGGATCATAGTGCGCAAGGACTGGGGTTGAAGCTAGCTCCTTTTTCAACTTCTCAAAGGCATCCTGCTGGGTCAGACCCCAAAGGAATTCATTCTTCATGCACAGAAGATCTCTGATTGGTTTGGTTTTCTCTCCTAGGTGGGGAACAAACTTTCCTAACTGGTTCACCATTCCGAAAAACCTACATAAGTCACTCACATTCTGGGGCATGTCCATGTCCTGGATTGACTCTGTTTTTTCTAAGTCTGACTTGATTCCATCTCCGTTAAGAACATATCCAGCAAACTTGACTTCTTTCTTTGAAAATTCACACTTTTCTGCATTTAGGGTGGCTCCAGTGCCATCAAGTTTCCTTAATACCACTTTGAGTCAGTGGTCATGTTCCTCTTGGGTTTCTACATGGATGATCATGTCATCAATAATGGAAACGTGGCCCTCGGACCCCTCCAATATTTGGCTCATCTTCTTTTGGTAATGTTTGGATGCAGACTTGATCCCAAACAGCATTTAGTTGAAACAGAATCTGCCAAAGGGTGTGATGAATGTCGTCAACAAGCGGAAATCTGGATCGAGCTTTTCTTGCCAGAATCCAGAATTGCAGTCCAACTTGGTGAAGAATTTCGATTCACTGATTTGGGCCAACAGGTTGTCAATCTTTGGTAAAGGGTATGTCTCTCGCAGAACATTCTCATCAAGTTGTGTTAGGTTGACACATATGCAAATTCTCCCATCAGGCTTTAAAACAGCAACCATGCCTGTACACCAGTCAGTTGGTATGTCAACTTTTGAAATGATGTTAAGGGTTTCCATACTCTAGCTCTTCTTTGACTTTCGGCATGAGAGGTAGTGCTACACATCTGGGTGTTGTAATCGAATAAGCTGTTGAACCAGGCTTCAACTTCATGCTGAATTCTCGTTCCAGCTCTCTCAGACCTTTAAATAAATTAGGGTACATTGTTTTAACTTCTTGCTCAATTCTTGTGCTGTCATCAGAATGGATTGTTTCAATTGTTGTCCAGCACGGTTCTGTTAGGTTTTCCACGATGTAGATTTCTTGCGTGGTCCCTTTGCCATTTGCAGTTTTCAGGTTTCTTTTGATTACTCTTTTACAGAAAGTTTAGACTGGCCAGGTCCAAACAGTTCTAGTGAGGATTTGTGGAGATTGCCCATTCCGGTTTGCAAGTACAAGGGTTCTGGAATGACTGTCATGTCTGCACCAGTATCAATTTTAAAGCGCATCTTTGCTTTTCCGAGCGGTAAATTTACGGACCATTTTGTTTGGGATTCGTCGCCTTCGACTGCTCCAAGAAATAACAATCTTTGTCTGAGGTTCCACTTTGTATTTCTTCGTCTACCGAACAAACGATTTTACTTTTACATTCTGAAGCGTAGTGTCCACATTTCTTACATTTCAGGCAAGTCAAATCGGAAGCTGGACATTTTTCTCTTTTGTGTGCTGGCAATTTGCCACATCAATAACACTTCTTCACAGGAGGCCTTTTAGAATTTTTCTGATCTTTCAATTCTTCGGACAATTTTCCTTCATCTTGTGGCGGTTTCCACTTGGTGTCTCAAATGCAGTTGATTTTTCTACCTTCGCCATCTCCTTTAAGGATTTCGTGGTGTTCTTTTACCAGCTCTGAAGACTTCACTTGCTTCACAGCTTTATCGAGTGTGAATGTATCATCTTGCATAAGTTTTTGTGACAACATGGTGTTACGAATGCCAACAATGATGCGGTCTCGTATTAATTCTTCTTTGAGAGTTCCAAACTGGCAGGCCTCTGCAAGCTTGTACAGGCTTTCGATGAAATTGATCACGGATACTTGTTCACCTTGAACACACTTGTTAAATTGAGCTCTTTCGAAGATAACATTTGTGCGGCCCACAAAGTGTGTTGCAAAACGTCGTTTTACGGTCTCGTAGACTTGATTGCCTTCACCAAGTTGAAAGCTTCTAAAGATTTTGTTTGAGTTTCCACCCATAGTGTAGACCAATGTGTTTATCTGCACTTTATCATCTTTTTCGACAAGGCCAGCAGCAATGCGATAGCATTCAAAGTGTTCAATTCATCGTTTCCACACCTCCGGTTTCTTTGAATCTAATTTTTCTGGTAGAGGAATTTGAGATGATGCCATTTTGATTCTATCGGCCAGGTTTTTCATCATTTTCCAATACTTCTGACACCATGTAACATTTTGATTCTGTTCATTGACTGATCGAGACTCTAGGTGGTTGTACAAAATACGTGCATATCCATTTATGGTAAATATGATCCCTTAACACGTGATGTGTTAATCAATAACCACACATTTATTTCAAGGGTCATAAGTTTATCAGTTTTGTTACTGTCAAATGTTACCCTCTCCAATAAAGTCTACTACTACTACTACTACCCATGCCAATGGCAGCCATAGTATCGAGACACAGTCCTTGTGCCTGGGTCATTACCGTCCACAGGTGCACCCCTGAGCCACCTCTCACTTCCATGACCGTAAACCACGTGATGGATATGTTTTCTGTGCCGCTTACCTGCTCAGATAAGCTATGCAAGCACTGATGGTGAAGCTTTATTCTTTGTGTAGAAAGCTCTCTTGTAAACTGTTTATTTGGGCTTTGACCTGCTCATTTGGACAGTCGATAATTGTTCTTATTATATGGTTAGCTTTGTGAGTAGGCAAAGATGAATCAAATCTTGTGCTGTGATTGGCTACCCGAGCGGGCAAGATGGAGCTACCTTGCCCGCTTGGGACTGCCGCCATGTCCCGTAAGAAAAATTTCCCGGAAAGCCATATAAGAAATCTTGTATTGACCAAGCTTATTCGGTCAAGATGGCTGGATATTAGCCTTGTTCTTTTTTTGCGAGTTTATGGACATCGACTACATCTCGGTCCATAAACTTGCAATAAAAGAACTTGACCAATATCCAGCCATCTTGACCACACACTTGGTCAATAACCCATATTTCCTTGAGCACATGTTTTAGTATGTTGTTGTACTGTAGATTATAGACTTTTGTGAATTGTGCTCGGCAATCAGCACATGCAAGAATCTTTGCTAGCTTTGTGATCTCTTTTTGATCAAAAATGCGTGTTCACTATGAATTCTGATTGCTGGTATGTTTCTAAGCTTGTCTGAAGGATTCTCTCTAAAATGCCATAGAATTTCACCATTTTCCTGGCACTCACTCTCCTAGACTCTGATGCCTAACCAGGCTGATACATTTTTCGCCTGATTGAGGTGCCTTTTAACATTATCCAATTCATCCACCAAAGTTCTTTGGACGTTTCAAGAAACTCTTTACAAGAACTCTGGCCACCACCATACTCCAGTTAGGGCGCACTCCATAGTGGACAGCTATACAACACCAAAGACACAAGTTGTCATTTAAAGTATTGAGTGAGACGATTTTTGAAACACACCCGCGTGCAAGTTTGTGCAGCAAGTCTGTCAATGGGCCTGTGCCTAACAGTGGTTGCCCATCAAGCGCCGCCTTTACTGGGATGTTGGAGAACATTTAGTGTTAGGGTGCTCTATGTTATCAAGATTCAATCGTTTATTCTCCTGCTCATTCAACCATCTTTTCACTACAACAAAAGTGTTTATTGCTGTTTAAAATAAACCATTTTCAGCCTGGTTTCGATATTCACGATTATGTATGTTTAGCTGTAATGGATATAAAATGCTGTGTTTATATCTTGGCCAAACTTAGCTAGGATGGAAGGTGTGTGTCCATCTGACAAATGGTCACCCTCTCTCCCTTTCTACGCCGTCTTCCACACCTTTACAAGTGACATCTCAACTATCCCCTTCTGAAAGTCAATCAGTGGTTGCCTTCTAGGCGGGGCTCTTTCACTGGTCTTAATAAATTTGTTCATGTGGTGTGAGACACATCTCTTCAATGTCTGTTTACCAGTATTGTGTATTTCTTTAAATAGAAATTTTGCACCACATGTGAGGGAGCACGACAATGTGATCTGCCTCGTTGAGTTGTGCCAAAAGTAGTAGGGAGGGAGTGAAATAGATACAGGCAAATTTTGAACACTTTAGTCTGCCTTGCCAGCGAGACTTGAGATGGCAAGTCAGACTAAAGTGTTCAAAATTTGCGGGAATGTTTTTGACTCCCTAAGTACTACTAGGAGTTAATAGCCAGCATCTGAAACTGCCCCACTTTCACCTGTCTTCAAGAGATCAATGTTTAGATTGCCCATAATAAACATGGTTTTCCTTTTGATCCATATTTCTTCCAGCTACCTTTCTAGAGTCGCATAAAAGCTAGTGTCAGTGGGAGGTCTATACAGTGCACATCACAGATATTATTAGTTTTTGCAAATGCAGATTTATTTCTGCCCAAATTGTTTCAAGATTATTTTCAGCTTCTTACATGTACTTGTCTAAATGTTCCTGCAGGTAAATGGTAAAACACAGCAATTGTACTTCTTGTCACAGCTTGCATGTTTTGGCAGTGTGAGAACTTCTTGTGTTCATTCTTGTGCATGCATTATTTTTGGGGTGTACTGTAACATGTTATAGTCTTGTTTTAGTGACTATGTGAACCTCAACAATACATTATCTTAACTTAATTTTGTATTCCTGACAATAACAGATCTAGTAGCCATGCTGTAAAGAAACAACAGATGTTATCAAGACTTTTCGTCTAGGGTGTTTTGTTGCAACTGATTTTGCATTGGCTAGTGGTAATCACAACAGTTTGCTCTTTTCCATTCTCTGTGTAGATTTATCATCTGTTGAGTGGTCATGTACTTGATGCAACTATGTCAACTAAAGTCAAGGTGCAAATTGTGACTGCCATCCTTCCACAGTTGAAGCATTACTCATGGCTTGGCACGAGGTATTTGCTTGTCTAATTAAATAACTTTATTGTAGTGTAACTGCATTTAATACAGCTGTGGGAATTAAAGAAATTGTAAATGAATAAACAAATATGGTAAGAAATGCAACTTATGGGAGGCTGACTAGTCAGCTATTTTTTCAGGTGTGATCAAGGTGCCAAACCCACAGCCACCATGAATAAATTTAGCAAGTGGCAGGGTGGAGGTTTTGTAACTGGGACCTGCAGATCTCAAACCCATCACCCTTATTTCCACTCTCCACTTTGATTGCATTTTAGATGAGCTTGAAAAGGTGATATTTCTGCCTTATTTGCCATCTTTTTAGTAAAATTTTTGCTCTTTCCTGAAGAGTTTAGGCTGTCTTGAAAATTCATACCTCAAAAGCTTAGAAATGAGATGCTAATCAAAGTGGCTATGAGCCACTCAACTTGGAAAATGGATCATCAGTAAACAATGGCAATTTTAATGCAAATGAACTGAGTTTTCCTTTCCTCATTTAAGAATCTTAAGCACGGCTTGAATCATTAGAAAATTGATTCAGCGCATCAATTTTGTTATTTTCAATATCTTCTTTTTTGACAGTCAAGTTAGCTATAGAGATGGGTACCCTTTACTGTGATCAAAATATCCTTTTTACGATAGCAAATTGCCAAATTGTCTGCTCTCACGCATTAATGCATCGCATAAATGATAAATTCATGTGTTTGTCTGCTTATTGAGAATTTCTGCAGTTATCGTAAAAATGTTATTTGACACTATTCTCCTAGAGGAGAACTAGGAACTATGATGACATGTACAATAACAATGTTCCAGTGCCAATCAAAATAACATACGGTATTCTATTTTAAAATTTATAAGCAGGCTATGCAAATAGCCTATAATTTAATCTTTGTATACTTACCGAGCTTTCAATAAGTCATTTCGAATATTGTCAACTATAAAGTAATATCAAGTAAATGTAAGTAGGCACATGTATGCTCTGCGTACCTATTTTTTGTCTTGTCATGGATTCTTCAACATTCCAAATAACTTTCAATACTCCCAATCCACCATTTCCTATTTTTTATTTGACTACTTTTTCTGGACTAATCCAATTCATCTGTAAGCTGGCTCACAAAGCCTTTGATTAGTGAAAGGTGTGTCAAGACAACATAACAATATTGATGACATCTTTCTGCTTGAATCTGACCGGAAACCAACTTGGTTGGTAGACCACTGTACTCAGGGAAATGGGGCGTTATGTTTGGAAAACCTTAATGTTTTTTTATTTTAATCCATTGACACCTGCATGAAATTGCCTGCGACCCATCCCTTATTCCCGGCAACTTTTTTAAATATTTTGGAGCGAGCGAAAGTTCAAAAATAAACCATATGCTGAGTAGTCACAGACACAAAATCAGGTTTCAAGACATTGTTTATTTGAAGTTGAATAACTGAAGGGCCAAAATATTAAAAAATATCAACAAAGAGAACTCAACTTGATGTGCAAAACTGATAAGAAAACAAATTATGTAAAAGTTAGCGGTATACTGAGTGGCAACAAATTGATAAAAATGATATGACATCCTCACATGTGAAGATATCATTTTTGATAACAATTTTTTGTCCCTTTAACTACACTTAAATTTGTTTGTATATGGTCAAAACATCTTCAGATCTTTGTATGTTTTCTGCAATCTTTGGAAAATGTTTGGAAATGTTCGTCTGGCCTTCAGACAAATTTTGGAAATCTTTGGAAATTTTGGAAAGTGGTTGGAAATCTTTGGAAAATCGCCACAAACGTTGTTATGTACTGTCGCTTGGAGATCAGAAATTAATCTTCTCGTGTTGAAAAATATTTCACTTCAACATTTGAAGATAAATTTCATATCTCCACGCAACCATGTACTATCCTCTATAAATTATATTTTTTCTTTCCTGAGTGACAAAGGCTGAGAAAATCAAATACGCAAAAATTAGTTAATTATTGAATTCAGAGGACAAAACAAATCTGAATACAACAGAATTTCCATTCTTTTACTTTAATGGGTAACATTTGAGAAAACAACAGAAGTAAAAGCGAACAACACAGTAAAAGCCTCTCTTTGCCATGCGATAAAATAATGCAGCACAGCAAAAGAAAGATGCAAGTTGTAAATCAAAAAGATGACAGAAACAAGCCAATTATTTTGGGATAAATCCTATTTCAACTGTGTTAATTTACTGCACACTTAGTTCTTTTCTCTGGAGTTCTGTTATAGCTGAATGAGACTCAAAAAAAATATATTTGAATGAAGTGAATAAACTAAACAAACTGCGAAGGTCGCCATAAATTAAATATGCAGAAATTCACTCTGCAGTTGTTCTAAAAGCTGAATTCAACTTCAAAGTAATACTGTACATTACCATTTTTGTTTTCTAAAGTCCAGGAAGCTGTTTTAAATCCATGATCTGTATTCAAAACTCACTTGAAAGTGCACCAATCGTCATGTTTTCACACTGGTTGAAGAAAGGAAAAATTCTTCACCAGAAACGTTTGAGGACTTGTACACCTTGGTCTTCCATTTTGAGGCCACCTGAACTTTGATTTGTATTTCTCCCTTCCATTGTAAGTCCCTAAGAGGTATTGCTCCATTTTAGTAATAAAAACAACACCCTGGAAGTTTGTAGATTTGGCCTAAAACATGCCACGATTAGCTGCACTTTTCAAGCGCATGATATTAAGACAAAAAATTGTCTTTCTAGGACCCCTTGAGTCCTCTAAAAATATGCTCAGAAAGTCAATTCTTGTCTTTTTTTGTCCCTAACAACAATAGAACAATAGGAGAACCAAAAAGTCTTTAGGGAGGGTAGGAAAGGCAATTGTCCCCACATGCATTTTTACAGCTAGTTATGGCTGGCACTGGCATTTGAGGGGTGGTTTTTGCACAGCGGGTTACGGCTGGCACAGGCATCAATGGTTTAATGAACATACTTTCGTAATGTGTGGTTCCAGAAAATATCCACACCCCCACGGAGGGTTTTTTCCTGTTTGACCACCCACCCCCCAGAATTTTCCATTCCAGTTGGCTTAGTGGTACTCTCCCACCTCCTGGAATTTCCAGTATTTTTCTTCTTGGGTCCCCCTAAATTCCATATCCACTAATAACAAGAGTTAAGTCATTTATTTTAGTCTCCAAGGTACTGTAATAAAATTTAGCCACAACTATTTATGGTTATATTGTAGACGAAGATGCAAGGCAGCACATTTTTCATGTTACACCAAGGCAAACAATTGTAAACCTTAATTTGGTCTCAACATGTTCACTATTTTATTGTAGATTATCTATGGGGATATTTACTAGGTCAGGATCAAAGCTGCTTGGTAACAAAAGAATAAAGCTCTGAGATTTAAATTTCCCAAAAATGAAGGTGGAAAAGTCTAGATGTAAATACAAACGCATCCCTTCATGTCATATAACAATTTGAACTAATAACTTACTTCGAAGCTCTTTACTCCCGAACGGCATAACAGCTGACTTTTTCTTCATTCAAAGAAGTTTTCTTACAAGAATCTCAAGGAGTACTGAAATTTAAGCTCTTTCAAATAACCCAGTAGAAGTTTTAATCTATGCATAGTCAAAACAATATATTGAATTACTTTACACGTGCAGTTATAGCAGGAAAGCAAAGTTGTCATGCAACATGTTTTTACAAAACACCTGTTTGCCGAGTATTGCTTAAATTTTTCTTTCAGTAAAGGAATTCTTCAATAAAGTCATACGCTTAGTCTTTGTAGCTTCTAAATGATAGTAAATTCATTTTATGCCTAAGCGTTTTAAATTGGTAACATGTTTAACTTCATACACATGAAACACATTGTTCAGTCATGCTATAAATAACCGAATGAAATCTTGGCTACCACTCCAGCACTCCTTGCTATCAACAGTTACATATACTCCAAGACAAATGGCATTGAATTGACTTTGCTAACTTAAACAAACTATTACACAGATAACGATGAAGATATGTGATAAACTTGTTACAGCAAATGTGAAACGGGATTAATTTTGTACAAGTATCAAATGAAATGAATAATGCTGGAAAAAGCATCGGCTGAGTTTAGGCTAAATACAGCACAATCTAAAGTATAAAATGTACAAAATGTCGTCAACTTCATTGTATAGCTCCACTTCTTCTTCGACATTTTGTTGGACTTGACATCCAACAAACAAAATTTTAACGTGCTGCTCTGGACAGAATCTTACATTTATTTCAACAGATGGAACATTTCTGTTGTTTTGATTACCTGAATCTATTGGGAAAGTGTGATAGGATTCATTAGATTTCATTTCAAACCCAGTGGAAAGAAAACTCTTTCTGTACCCCCTCCCCTGTAACATATTCGCTAGGACAGACAATGAAGCACCAGAGCATCTAAACACAACTTTTAATCTCGTAAGCTAAGTGTACATCAAGTGAAGTGAGGGAACAGATGTAGGATCCCAGATGTAAACTAAAGTGTATAAATTAACTTAACATGCATAAATTAACATCGTTACATCTCCCTTCGTTGTTCAAAAGAAGAAAGAATGAAGAAAGAGAAACTTAAATTGTTTCTTTGAGTCGTTGTTTGGAGAACATAAACAACATAGGAAAAGTGTAAGCATGCATAGTCACTGAGGTATGCTGGTCTTCACATGACTCTTCCCTGGACACTACATCTTTCTGGACTTCTTATGTCATCAGCTTGAGGGCTTGGTGTTGCTTGTGGCTTGATCACCTCTTGGGGCATTGATTCAGCTACTGGTGGTACCTGTTCAACTTTGGTCAAGGGCAGGGTACCAGGATTGGAGCTAGATATCTCAATGTCAGGTGGTGATTGTTTTGGGACTTCAGCTGTGAGACGCATGTGTCGGCAGTTCCTGCGATACACCCTTCCGTCATCAGTGATTACTTGGTATAAGCGTACAGCAAGTTGTTTGTCAACCGTTGCTTGGGTCCATTGATGACTACTTGGGTGGATGGATACAAACGGTGG